GATGTCAATGATGGGACTGAATGAGGACATTGTGACATTGATAAGGAGATCGAGATGTTGTGGTATGGACATGTGTTGAGATGCGGTGGTATGGACATGTGTTGAGAAGGGATGAAAGGGTCGGGATTAGGCAAGCGTTGGAGTTCGAGATTGAAGGAGTGGTAGGAAGGGGTTGTCCGTGATTGGAATGGAGAAAGCAGGTGGAGAAGGACAGGGTGAAAGCGGGGTTGCGTGATACTGAGGTGAGTGACAGATGTGGATGGCGTCGAGGGGTATTTTGGTTTCATCATAGGTAGCCAAACGACAACCCCGATCTCGGGGAAAATGTCGTCTAAACGTGTGTTGTTGTTGTTGTTGTTAGCATGAAAAAATGTCTAAAGTTACAAGAATAATAAATTCTCAGATCCAAAATTTTTATAAAGAAAAAAGTTTCAACACAGTTTATCAATATTTTTTTTTAAACTAGCATTTGAAATTGAAATTTTCATTTTATTTAAAAACAAATGATAAATAATAAAATGAGAAACCATATCATCATGTTATGTAAAGTTACAGACATTAAGAACTTTATTATTTATTTTACAAAACAATAAAATTTATAATAAATAAATTAAAAGTACTACAAAATACTAAAAAATTAAGTGAAAAAATTACTTTAGAATGAGATCTATGAGGGTTGTCAGTGGTAATGGATTCAAGGAGGGGCTGAAGGGGGGTGCGGGTGCCCGATGCATGGGTCCCCACCGCACTCATTTTTTTCTAACTTTCTTTTGTTCTTTCTATCTTCTAATCATTAATTATTCTTCTACTAATAATCCACATAAAATAGTACTTTTAATTAAAAAAAAGTGTTGGAATTAGATTTTAGAAGTATAACAAATTTATGAAAAATTGAAAATATTTGAAGTTGGTGTGTGTGATGCCCTTTGTCTGCGGTTTAAAAAAAATAGATACTTTCAGTCATGAAAGAGAACAAAATCATATTTAATTTGTAGGTATTTTTGGGAAAGCATCATATCACACATTTGCGATCAAATTATTTTATAGTCAAACAATTAATTATATTTTAAAGCAATAATAAATTTATTACTTCTTTCTAATTAATTTCATTTGTTTATAATTTATTTTTAATAATTTTAAACAATTTATTGTCACTCAAATTGAAAATTGCAAAACAAAACTAGCAAGTACTAACCCAATAAATCGGAGAAGAATAATCGAAAAAAATATCAAACAGGCACGATAAATCCGATTTTAGCTTCTTAAATTAATTCTTTAAAATGCGATTAATTTGAAGATTCTAAAATCAAGAAACCAAAATTTTAATTTTATTTAGATAAAAAACTGAAAACAAGAGCGGAAGCAAGCAACGAGAACTTGCACATATAAATATTATTCATTACGTTACGTCTAATTTTTTTTCCATAGATGTTTTAATGGTTTTCTCATATAAAACTCACATATTTCACTATTTAACTCATATATTTTGCTATCTTACTTCTATATTTTATTACTTAAAACATAAAGAAGGTTTACATCTCTATACAACATAAATTATTAAGATATAAAAGAATTTATATGTACACTGTCTTAGTCATCATTAATGTTGATGATGATGTGTGCATACCTTTCCAGCATCGGATGTATGTGTATGTAAGTTGTATGTGTGAATGTATATGATCTCAATATCATATTTCTATATTGCTCATCGCATCCAAACTCTACTAGGAACAAAGTAGTAGTACGAAGATTCGATGATCTGTAACAAAACAGTAAACTACCAACTATACTACAACCACAAAAACACGTTTATCAGGAATTTTTTTATTCTTTTACTAATTGCCATGAAAGAAAGCGGCAAAAATTACAAACCAAATACAAACCTAAATATAGACTAAACTATAAAAAAAACACGGTTAACGAATTTGCTGTTGTTATTCTTATTACTGTTAAGCATCGTCTATTTTACTCATTAATTTGTCTAAGTCTGCATCCGTTGTTTTTGCCAAAGCCAATTCCATCTCCCTTTGAAATTAATATTTATTATTATGTTATAATCTTTTTATATTGCATTTTTTTATTATTTTCATTTATTATTTCATCTGTCTCAATATCAACCCAACGGTTCATTCAGTGCATGAGTAAATAATAGTTGCCTACCATCGTTATTCTGGATTTTAGGCGGATAGCTTCTGGGTTTCTGGATTTTAATTTATCTCCTTCTACACGTCCTATCTTTACAACATCCACAAAGTTTATTAACGTACTTACTTTTTGTTTAATGCCAAAGTCAATATATGTAGAAATGTCTGAGTTAGTTAGACCTTCATTTTCTTAATAAAGTTTCAACTACTCGATCAGAATTCTTTTTAATATCCTAACAAATTTTTAAAGTACTCTCATGCTTAGAAATATTTTAAGTTGCTTAAAAATGTAGAATAAGAAAAAATTCTTCTCTATTCACCGGATTTTTTCATGGATACTATATTATATATAATAATAATAATAATATAAACATTTATGAATCGCCCATTTGCACAGCTGCTTCAGAGGCGCCCGGAACCCGTGTTAAAAAGATGAGTCTTTAATCCCTTTTTGAAAAGACTCAACGAGGAACATTGTCTTAACTCAGGAGGTAACGCATTCCAGACATACGGAGCAGCGTGACGAAAACCGCGGCCAGCCAGGCGGATATATTCATGGATTTCTCTAAAAGTTCAAGCCCTCTCGCCCATAAAAAAAATTCCGACTACGCTTCTAAACCAATACGACCGACACTTATTACAACTGAAATATTATCATAAATAACATGAAATAAATTAATTTTAACAATAATACTACGACAAAACCTTATAATTATGATAAAAGTAATTGATTTATACGATGAAATACATAGAAAAGCTTTCAAATTTAACGTACTCTTCGCTGTCCAATGGCTCCAACTTGTAGCCGGTTCTTCATTTAATAAAACACATTCAAATAAAACTACAATTCATTACTACATCACAAAATCATTTAAAACAATCTCATAATTTCTAATTTATATAATAATATTATAATTGAATCATTAATTATTATTTTATTGTTATAAAATGTCTTAGATTTGAAATCAAGGGCAGTAATTTGTAATAAACTTTTTATACTTACGCAGCCACAAACTTCCTTAACAACCTGTTGACGACCTTATACGAATGCGGTACCTCATAGCTTTAGGAAAAGTCATTATTATTAATTATACAATAACAATAATTATTTCAATAATTATATTTAAATTTATTATTAATATTTATTATTCCATCTAACATTTCTTGTGTTATTATCCTTACTAATTACGACAGTAAGAGTCATAATTATTAATTATATAATAACAATTATTATTATAATTATACTTATAATAAAAAATTATTATTATAATTATACTTATAATAAAAATTATTATTACAATTATGCTTATAATAATAATAATTATTATTTTTCATTAATCTCTTCTAACACTTCCTGAGTTATGATCCAGTAAATGCCATGCGTTAACGACAAAACGCTGAGCACAGCGAAAGCAATGTAAACCCCTATCTTCTTTGGATTCCAGTCTCTGTCTGTCGTTAGTTTGTAATAGTCTATTTAGTAATCAGTTTTTCAGTATAATTAGCAATCAGTTTAAACAGTGTTTCAGGTAGCGTAATGGTTAAGGTGTTTGGCTCTGCTGTTAAAGTCGCTGGGGTTTAAATGCAAAGAAATCCGGGAATATTACGTGCATAAAATAACTCACCAGAAGGTTTATACTAGTAAGTGTATTCGATGATAATTTTTTAAATAAACAATCTCGTGATATTGATATTAAATTGATATTAATGTTAAGATATATAAAAAGAAGATACAAACACACACCACACACACGCACGCACACACACATAGCCACTAATACACAATAGTATAATTAAAAAACACAAATAGTATAATTAACATACGAAATATTGGCGATATTTCAAGCGCTGGTCAAAAAAAAAATCGTCATTATTATAATGAATCGTATTTAACGAAGGTTAATTAAATGAAAGTAAGAGGTAAAATTTACTCATTCGTTCATTTATTTATTCATTTATTCGTTCATTAATTTATTCGTTCATTCATTCATTATTCTATTCATTCGTTAATTCATTCATTCGTTCGTTCATTCATTCATTCATTCGTTCATTCATTCATAATTCATTCATTCATTCATTTATTTATTCATTCATTCATTCATAATGGACAGCAAACCTGTCCTGTTATATCCTTTTGCTCTTTCTAAATGTAGAAATTGAATTTTTTTAAAAAATTTACTAATCAACAGAAAACTAAAAAACAAACAAATGAATGAATGAATGAACTAATGAATGAAAAATCTCTGGTAGATATCCTACGGTGATTAGGCAAATAATATTCAAAACTATCGAAATAAGAATAAATGGTTGCATGTGTTAGTGAAAGAATGTAAGAATGAATGAATGAATAAATGAATGGATGAATGAATGAACGAACGAACGAACCAGAACATTCTCTAGTAGATATCCTGTAGAGGCCAGGCAAACAGTTACACCAAAAAGAGCCGAACGTATTGACGCACGTTGTCGTGTTTTGGTGGCATGACTCGGGGTAGGTTACGCACTCGTTGATATCTACATGTAGTTCAATCAACCAATCAATCGATCGATCAATCAATCAATCAATTAACCAGTCAGCAAACTAGCCAATCAAACAACCAGTCAACCAACCATTCAACCAACCAATCAACCATCCAATCAACCAACCGGTCAACCAACAAATCAACCAACCAATCAACCAACCAACCAGCCAATGAACCTTCGCAACTGAAGAACTCCTCCTCGTCATATCTATCGAAACCGCGCAGACACTCGCATTCATACCCGCGACCGACGTCGATGCATTTCGTCGTCACAAGGTCGCAGTCCATGTAGCCCTGATTGCATAATGAGTAATTCCCTGGTTAAGCGTGTGAGTGAATGGATGGATGAAGGAATGAATGAATGAATGAATGAATGGATGGATGAATGGATGAATGAATGAACGAATGAATGAAACATCCTAACCGGTCCCAAGACAGTGCTTATCATCGTACTTTTCGTAATGGGTTCGACACTCGCATTGAAAATCACCTAGAATATGAATGAAGATTGCTGAAAGTCCAGTGTTCAATGTTCATTTAAATGTAGTACATTATTTGGGGTTGAAAATAATATTATAGTCAATTGCTACTGCTGGAGCGTTACATTATTAAGAAGTTTAATTACAACATACGTATCATAGTAAATAATTATAGATTTTTAATAGATAGTTCTGTCATTCATTCAATAATTCATTCATTCATTCGTTCATTAAATCATTCGTCCATTCATTCATTCGTTCGTTCATTCTCATTCATTCATCCATTCATTCATTCACCTTCATTGTTGACGCATCTTGTGGTCAGTGGATCGCAGTCGTCAGCATATTCCTGGCATTCATCTACGTCTGCCCCAATAATGACAATAATAATAAGAATAATAATAATAATAACTGTAATAATAATAATAATTGACCTCGACACGTATTGTTATCAGTGTCCATCATGAAGCCAGCGGAGCACCAGCACTCAAAGCTTCCCGCCAAATTCACGCAAACCGAATTGTCTGGACACTCTGCCTCTCCGTCTGAACATTCGTCTATGTCTGGAAGAGAGGTCATGGCCACGAATAATAATAATAATAATAATAAATAATAATAATAATATAAATAATAATAATAATGAGGATGAAGAAATTTAAAATTTAGATAGATGTTCTGCCCGTGGAAGATTTCAAATTTAGATAGATGTTCCGCCGATGAAAGAATTCAAATTTAGACAGAAAAAATTCAAAATTAGTTAGACTTTGAACGATGAACGATGAACGCCCATGAACGATGTCAAAATTAGATAGATGTTAGACCTATGCAATTTTCGTCCTCCTCATCTTTCATGTAGCCCTTTTTGCAATCACAACCGAAGCTACCGACCGAGTTGTTGCACTGCTCGTAGTCAAAACACGTATGCAGGTTCAGCTGGCACTCGTCAACGTCTATAATTACAGTAATAATTAAAATAATTATTAATTATACTATTTATTATATTAATATCCTAATTAAACATATAAATTATATTGATTATACTATAGCAAATATTGATGATAATGTAATTATTGATTTATGATATAATTTATAATTAATTATAAAATAATTATTAATTATACAATTAATTATATTAATATCCTAATAAAACATATTAATTATTTCAATTATACTATATTATATTATACTATTAATTAAATTATTATCCTAACTTGCTGATATCTGCCATAAAAATAGATACAAAACTACGAATAGAGATGGTATACATGTATACAAGCAAGGTTATATGCGTGATAAGTAAGAAAAGAGAGTTGTGTGTGGGGGGGAATGGGTAAAACCCCCACAAAAAATGGATAAAAAAATTAACCCCCACAAAAAATGGGTAAAACCCACAAAAAAATTAGTTAAAACTGACCAATACAACTCTTGTTGACCATGTGGTAGCCTTTACCACAATAACACCAAACGATAGACTGGAAATCGTAACATGTGCCAACATCGCCCGTGCAGTTCGATTCCTCTTGCTCACATCTGTCCATAACTGGAAATTATGACCATAATTACGGTTATAATTACTGTAATAATTATAATTATAACCATAGATGTTATTGTTGTTATAATAATATTATTATAGCGTGACATGTGTGTGCGTGTGCGTGCGTGTGTGTGCATATATATGTGTGTGTGTGCGTACGTGTGTGTGTGTGTGTTTGTGAGTTTGTGTGTAATTGTTAACAAAACCAAACGTGGAAAGACTCAAGAATGTGCTTCATACGCGTGCAGTAAGGGTAGCTGTAGTTACTGCGCTGTATCAATGTTAGGACGCTGTCTCCATGGCACTTGCACGTGTCGCCGTCACAGTAGCCGTTGCCCATGTAGCATCTGGCGCGCTCCCAATCGTCGCTGCAGTTGAAGTTGCCAGTTATGATTGGTTCTGGCGTCGTGAAGTTTTGTGCTTCTTCAGTGGCGTTGCCACTGTTCGCTAAACCTTCTTCCTCTTCATAATCGGCGTATGTTAGGTTTGCGTATGTTAGGTTTGCGTATGTTAGGTTTGCGTATGTTAGGTTTGCGTATGTTAGGTTTGCGTATGTTAGGTTTGCGTATGTTAGGTTTGCGTATATTAGGTTTGCGTATTTTGGGTTCGTTGCGTTCGTGTCTGTTGTGTTTGTTGCGTTCGTGTTTGTTGGGTTTGTTGCGTTCGTGTTTGTTGGGTTCGTGTTTGTTGCATTTGTGTTTGTTGCGTTTTTGACACTGCCTCTCAGTACTTGACAGCTCATCAACGCCAGCATCGTCGTCATTGTTGCAGGTACTAGATTAAAATTATTCAGTCCTGGTAGAAAAAAAAGTTTGTGATTTAAGATTAAACTTTTTTTTATGGTCATTCAATCATTTGGAGTACATTCTTCGTTCTGACGGTTTGGGCATTTTGTAAAAATAATTTCATACAAAACATGTCGATAAGTTAAAGATTAACGACATTTTAAATTGATACAGTAATGTTAGTTGAGACTATTATACTAAATAACTCAAGCTTTGTATAAAATAGTTTTAAAATAAATTCGAAGAATTCAAAACCTGTAACTCCGTTAGGACATAAGTTAGAAATGATGAAAGACAGATGAAGAACATTTTCTGAAACTCGCATTATTCCAAAAAATTATAAGGTAAACCAGGAATCATCTCGTCATTCTTGTGAAATGACACTCCTTAGTGAGTAAGAGAATAATTTTTTTTAACGAATTTATTTCATTTCTATTCAATGAAATTTTTCTTTGATTCTTACATAGTTTTTTTAACATCTACGATTGTCAGTCTATCATATAATTTTAATTAAATTTATTTCTTATTTGCATTATCTAGCCAAAACTGTTTATAAGCAAAATTTTGAATTGATAACGAACTTCTGTTACTCATTAAAGCCTCTGCGTAAGGTAGTGACATACACAAAATTGAATTTTATTTCCAATTCAATAATTAATTAATTAATTAATATTACACATACATATATACAATCTCTTGATAAATGTATTCCATATAGATAAACAAGGCCACAATACAAGTTATTGGTATATCTCCATGCATATAATTAGAATATATATATAACGGCCTTCGCTCATTTTTGACGGTCGAACAAGGAGCTTACTTCCGGAGTGAAATTGGAGGGTGATTTTTTATCGCCCAAGTCAAAAGTTACGATCGTATATTTACTAATTTCGGAATATTGCTTATATTTAAAATTTCAAAATGTTTTAAAAGGTACTAGATGCTGTTTTAGGATAGATATTGCTGTATGACGGTTAAGTATCTTTTTGCATTTTAAATAAAAAAAATTTTTGTGAACCACCAACAACACTTAACTCAAACTGTAACAACACTAAACACTAAACGACGACTAATTAGTAATTAAATTACTAAACTTTAATAATTAAGCTAAAACTAAACTCTACTGGTTCTAATTACTAATTGAAATAAATAACAGATAACACTAACGAACATTAACAGATTAGACTACTAGAAACTACCAACCACTCTACACTTCTACAGACTAACAGCACTTGTTCCTAAGATCCTAAATTCTATTGCTTGATTGGTTTTAAAATTTTTATTTACAATGCTTAGGTCTGGGAATAAAAAATATACTAAATTAAATAAATATATTAAACAACTTATCAATCAATTTTATAAAATAAACAATTTTGTAATTTGTTTAATTCAAGCTTCAAACTCCCCAAGCTAACTTGCAATTTAATTAAAATTTATTAATTATGAGTGATTCAAACTAAATTTTTTTTCATTTAATGTTTTACAAAATATTCCTAATTCTTAAATTGTAGTACATGTTGTTATTAAATTTATTAAAGATAATGTGTGATTCCAGTGATTCATCAATCCATGACTTGTTAGATCATGATCATTCAGTTTCAAAGAATCCCCATCACCATAACCAATGAGGTTTGTAAAAATTGTACTTTTAATTTATTATATTTTATGCACTTAGAATGTTGTGTTATTAATTATTATCATTAATTTATTAAATGCTGTGCATACCTATGGCAAGTAAATAAAATAATTAAGCATAGAAATAGCCACAATCAAATTAATTTATATAGGCATGAGTATAATTTGGATAATAATAATTAAAAATATCGGTATCATTGAAAATGGATAAAGTCATAAATAAAAAAATAAATCGTAAATTGCTAAAAATAATAGTTCCAGTGAGATTTTGCCTTACACCTACATCTTTTTTTCATTCTTATATTATAATAAATGTTTGTTATCAAATATATCAAGGATTGATTTCTCAATACATGACTAGATTGAATGTCATGATCCTACAGTTCCAGAGGTTCCCCATCACCATTAGTCAATAAGGTTTGTAGAAATCACCCCAGGCATACCATCAATGTTTTGTAGCTACCTTTTAATGTAGTGATAATAAAATGACATTGAGAATAGTTATTTAAAACAATCTTATTAAAATTATTGAACAGGTATGACAAGATTACTTTCTTAATGTCCTAGTGTGAGGAAGATGTAAGCCATTTGTCCAAAGATAATCATATGCCTTATGCCCATACAAATGCAGTGTCAACGCAAATGATTTTTGATCAGAGTCATATGTTCTAATTTTTTTAAACTTTTCCAGAAATTTTTCTGTTAATTTATTTGTTACATTGAATACTTGATGTGTATTTCATATAAAAACTTGATTATGCCAATTTAGTTAACTTGTAAAGCATTAATATAAAATTGACTCTACTTGTAATGGTGATTGGTATGATGATGATGATCCCAGTCCTAAGCAGGGTTTATTATTCACAATGTCATTATGCCCTTTCTAAGTTTTAATAAAATACATGGAATATTGTTGAATGCATTTTATATTTTTTGTATAGATAAGAATGTTGCAATGTACAATGATGATGTGAATTGCTTCCTTGTGTAACTGATGACATATAAATATAACTAACTTGAAAACATGGGAATGCTTTCTTCAGCTTTATCTTCCTTTCTCCATCATAACCCTTATAATCTTTATTACAAAAATGGTCACTGCATATTTTTGCATTTTTTGATGGAAGCCATTTGAAATCATTTATTTCCTGTCTGATGCACTTAATCCAGTCGTTTTGCATTTTTACATTTTGAGAAAATCTGAAATTTTATAAACTGTTACAGAAACTTGTGCATTTCTTAAGTATTGCTTTTAATAATAAAATGGTAATCCATGATAGCATTATAAATTATAATAGTCTATAAAATAAAATATATGTAATTGTAAAACAAAATAGTTCTATTCAATGAGTATAGGGATATTGTTACATTTATTTTAGTGTGAAGTTTATTTGAAAATAAACCTGTGAAAAGATGCATCAGAAATTTTCTCATTTCTATTTATTATTAATGTAATTTTTAAATGCAACAGGTAGGCATGTTTGTGTATAGCTACGAAAATGAAAATTTACTTAAAAACTAAATTATTGTATCTGACACGAAAATTAGTACAGTAACAAAAACAAAAGAATAAATGACAATATAAAAATTTAAACATTGATTGAAAGAGTTTATTCTAATTATATGGTATGGGCAATTCGTTGCGAAATCGTTGGAGGAAATGGTGTCAACAGTAGTTATTTTACTGCATGGTAGTTAATCAGCCGGTATGAAGGTTATATTCAATTTCTATCAAATAAATTTGACAAAATATCATACACAGGCAGAACTAAATAAAGAAATAGATAGATATATACACGTAGTTATAATACATTTATAATGTTGTATTTACACATTCAAATTGTACAATTGTGTTATGGTGAGTCTCAAATT